ATTTGTATGAATATTCAATCGGAGTTGCGAGTCTATATATAATCCAAAATATTTGGTGTCATTTTTATATTGTATTCGTATGTATTTTCTCCTGACATTACCAGCATCATCTTTGTAGTCTTCAACTATTTCCAGAGTAGTAAACGATAGTAACGTATTTTAATAGCTGATAAAAGGATCGATTGTTTTTTCTCATAGTTAACTGTTAATTTTTTGTGTCTGAACAAATTGAATACTTTTCTGATATCACTTTTTACTGAGACTTTGAGATTTGACCAGCTGTCCTCAGTATATAAGATAGCGGTGTCGTCAATGGAAATATCAATTCCATATTGTTGGAATTGTTTTGGTTCACGGTTATTCCCAATTGCCTATAGTTTAAAATTATTAAACGTTTCATACTGAAATACAATCCCAGTTCAATTATATTACAACTTCCTCACCGTCAGTTCAGAACCACTTTTAATCTCCACCAGAAACCGTGTCCTTGTGCCGACCTTCACAGATAAATCGTTGAGTCTTTTGATGAAAGCGGGGGGCTCTTCTGAATCAGCTGTTGCGGTCACTCTCAATTCTACGTCTCTGGAAACAATCCCACTAGGAGATCTAGCAGTGACTGTATAGAGGCCTGCATCCTCTTTCCGAACACTCTCAAGAGCTAGCTGAATCGTGTTGTTGGTGACCTTCAGGTGTCTTCTTCTGTCTGGGGCGATTGGAGCTCCATCCTTAGACCTGAAACAAATCGCGATTAGTATCATATGAAACTAGTTTTCTGAAACTTGCATGGGATAAGAAAATTAATATAGGTACAGTCTGAAGACTATGAGGAGAGATTTATATTTCGAAATGAAATATCGATCATTCATCTCTTCCAACTACATACACAGTAGATTCTGATAAATGCCTGCCGGAAACCAACTACTCTCGCGGCTAATACCACGCTGGACATTGAACTGTAAACAACAGAGAATTATGCAAGAAACCTCACAGAGGTCAGTATTGCAGATGTTTATCTTCCATTCAGCAGCAGGGTCACGCTGAAATCAATCGAGTAGATCACGTATAGACCTGTTTCGAAGTATTACCTCTCATCAGTGTAGGAAAGAAACAACTACTTTCGCGGCTAATACCACGCTGGACATTGAACTATAAAAAACAGAAAATTGGGTTGGGTGGGGGCACTCAAACAAAACTGTTCGGTTCGGTGTGGGAGCGCATACCACCAACTGAAAAGTCTGAACAGTTGATGTATATAATATTTTGACGCGTTGTATTGAAGAATGTTATCGAGAATGTTAACATCGGAATATTCTTTTAATGCTTTATTATATAATGCAGGTCGTTTTCAACTTCCTCAATTAAATTTTCTACTGAACATTCGGCAATATTCGACATATTTATGAAAAAAAAAATGTAATGAAAACGCAAATATATTCGAAGATGAAGTAGGTACTAGATAATATTTGATATCAGATACCAACAATGGATTGTAGAGTGGGGAGTCTGCAGGCATCGACTGTTCAATTGGTGCATGAGTCTGCGCACTTTCATAAACACACAGTCTNCAGAGCACAAAAACAAAGCATTCCAGAAGATCACTAGGCAAAACTGTTTTGATCTGTGGTGCTAGGCTGAACCACGATTGCATTTCTGAACTCAACTATTCTTTGAGAACAAGCCTGAGTAAGTAAATACAATTATATATTTCTTCCAAAAAAGATATTCAGAGTTCAACTATCCTCAAAAAAGAAGCCTGAGAACGTAAAAGTGTTCACATCTTTTCAAAATGCTACAGAGGGCTACTTACCCTCTGTATCTGAGAAGTCTAAGAACTCACTACGACTCGAATATTTTCTTTCATGTTATGCATACAGTTTTTAATGAAAGATAATAATCCAGGGGCATTAGGTCTGAAGGATAAGGCGGTCAAATATAAGAAAGTGGGTAAAGGTGTTGAAATCTTCCCTTATGAAGACGTCATGTATGAGATCAACATCGGATTCAATTCACAAACATCAAACGCTCTGGCGTCAACTAGTTGCCTTGCAGTAAAAGGCGAAAGACGAATTTTTTTGGTGGTCTATGTCGAAGCTTGCTTTTGCAACAGCCTCGTTTATCTTTGATATTCGTGAATTGATTATTTTGTCGATCCTATGAATGATGTCTTTGAAGATCAGATTTGAAAATTCCATTGGGTAAAAATTCCAAAATATCTTGCCTTCAAGTCGCATCACTGAATGAACACGAATAGAAATAGCAAAACTTCACCAACTTTTGAGATTTCTGAATAAACGTAGACGATGAATATGAAATACGCCAAATGGATTCATTTCAAAATTGAAAATAATAAAAATTAACAAATAGAGAATGTCTCCTTTTTGAAATTAGACAGTTATTATCAATTTATAATATAACCAAAAGTAATTGGGATTTGAAAATAGTGTATTGAGAAGTGGAAGAACACACTATAGAAAAATCATTAGCATTCAGAATGCAATTTTAAATAGCACAATAGTGCTATTTATAATGTGTTAGTAATAATCCAACATAATCACTATAAATTCTTACCGAGTACGTTGAGATGGCACGAGCTGGACGCTTGACCTACACTGTTTCGAGCGGTGCAAGTCCATCTTCCAGAATCTTCCGCTGTTACGGGCACCACGTCCACGCAATGGAACTGTCCTTCGTTTACAAAGTTGTATCTGTCTTTTTCGATTATTTTCTCTTCGTTTTTGTACCATTCGATCTGTAATGTAATTGGAATGTTATTAAAATTAGAAAAAAACATCGTTACATATGAATCATTCAATTTGAATCACTATGATATGTCGAGGCAGCTAGTGACAAAATATCTAGATATAAATCGTTCACTGAGCTACACTGATGAGTAAATTTGGATCATTTGACAAAGGATGAATCCAACAAGAACTTTTTTCTTTCTTGCAGCTCTTCTCGACTATCAAGTTGGGATGCTAGCTCTTTACATGCATGTAGGTAATAGTCTTTTCAAAAAATAAGGCGAATTATAATTTTTCTCAACAAACATTTCATATTTTTTTCTTATTAGTCGGTGGGCTATGCTTGACGACTGGCAGTGAACAAATCTAAAGAAATGAACTTTAAACGTTCAAGCCAGTCTCAAATATACCTACACAGTAGGTTGAATAGACTGACGCCTATCAGAAAACAACTAATCCCCTGGCTAATACCACAAAGGGCGTTGGATCAGATCCTACAGGTGTCAGTGCAGGAAACTTCACAGAAAATTTCCTGCATATGCAATTGGCAACACAACTGAATCGATCTTCAATTTTGGAGCGGACACACTTGCAGACCGATTTCTGGCTCATTAGCCACTCATCAGTGCAAGATAGTAGCCATCATCGACCTAAAGTCAATGATATTCCATAATTGAAAATCTGAATTCTTTCAGAGTATTTCATTCCTCTTCCTAATTAGTCCTTATTAGTCTCACTGATAAGAAAGTTTTTCTTTCTAATTCAGAGGAATTGCTTCTATCCACTAGATGGAGTGACATTTTGTTGTTCGCTCCAAGAGGAATGAAATACTCTGAAAGAATTCCGATTTTCAATCATGGAATATCATTGACTTCAGTTCGATGATGGCCACTATCTTGCACTGATAAGTGGCTAATGAGCCCGAAACCGGTCTGCAAGTCCAAAATTGAAGATCGACTCTTTCAGTTGTATTCTCAATTGCATATGCAGGAAATTTTCTGTGAAGATTCCTGCACTGAAGCCTGTCGGAAATAATCCAACGCCCTTCATGGTATTAGCCAGGGGATTAGCTGTTTTCTGATAGGCGTCAGTCCATTCATCCTACTGTGTAGGTATATTCGAGACTGGCTTGAACGTTCAAAGTTCATTTCTTTAGAAACATTTCATAGTTCATCAATTTATTTTTTGTCTCCTTCGAAATAATCCCCCTCAGATATTATTATTATTATTATATAAACTTGTGCCAGCGTTTTTTCCGTCCTTGAAGCAATTCTGATATGCATTTTTGGATGTCTTTGAGCTTTCTCAGCGATTTTATTTTTATCTCCTCAATCGTCGCGAAACGAAGTTCTTTCATGCGTCTTTGCAATCTTGGGAATAGAAAAATTTTGCAGGTGGCCAAATCTGGTAAATACGGTGGCTGAAGCATGAAAACGGTGTTGTTTTTGGCCAAAAAATTACAAAGAAGCAATGACGAGTGAGCAGGTACATTACCATGAATAGATTTTCCACAATACGGGACGTGTTCTTTGTATTGCTTCTCGCAAGCAGTGCATAACTTCATGATAATTCTCCTTATTGACCGTACAGCCATGTGGCAAGAACTGCTGATACACTACGCCACGATAATAAAACTTATGGACTTAACTGAAAAGGCAACAATGTGTTGCCTGGAGGCAAATGCATGTCAGTTTTTTCGCACGTTCTGAATAATTGACATTTATAAAAAAATCCAATATTTCGAGTCCCATTATTGTAATTTTCCCAGAGATCTCTAAATGAAACAGAACTATAGCTCTGTTATTCGTCCATAACGTAGCTTTTCTACAAGGTAATGATAGTTTTTGATATAGTTGAATGATACTCATCGGGCGAAAAAAACTGCGTGTTTTTCCCCTTCGTTGATTTCAATTTATGAATTTCTTCGTTAAAACGTCTTTTCATATCCATCATATACATGGATGCCGCCATTTTGCGAGATAAACGTACTCCATGCACTCACGTGTTCTCGTTCCAAAGTATTACTGCGAACTAATACGTCGCTGCGTGCGCACGCTGCCCTCCCACCGCACGTACGCGCCCCTCGCTTGTTGCAAGGCACGGCCGCGGTCCAATTTATTACATTGCCCGGCTACAAGTAGTGAATTATTCATACTGCTCGGTCCAAGTGATAAATTCAAGCTATCTCAAATACTGACTTATTACATGGACCACGGGCCGTCGGGTATTATTGATAATGGCCGGTCAAAGTGATAAATTAACAACTTTGCCCATCGCTCTTGAGCATTATTAATTATGACCGGTCCTTATTAATAATGCCCATTTAATCACGTTGCCCGTAATACATACATAATCAATAGTTGATTTTGAATATTGCGTAATGCGAGTGCGCATATAATATAAGTTTAAAATTGACATAATCGATAAAAAAATGTAATATCCAATACCTAAGTATCTTTGTATCGAAACAACTACGTTACTATTGATCACATTTTAATTCTAAGGTTTTCTCTCAAATCATTTATATTTAAGTCACAATCCGGTTAATTTTACTTTTTCGGGGTAACGTCGTTTAATACTGGATTGATTGCGCGACATATAGACACAGATACTGGTAATCAGTTGTAATAGGTGTAATTCAGTTTTTTTTCTCTCTATACTTTTTGCTTGAAAATTGTATTGATTATTGGTCTATTACTGACAATCCACTTTTTTATTAATTTTTTTGAATAACTTATCAACAGATATATTCTTTGGCTCATTTGGTAACAAACTATGTATTCTTGGAGCAAGTTTGCACTTCGTTGACCTAAACATTTTTCACTTCTGGGAAAGAAAATTGCATCAGCTCTTCTGGTTTTGAGAGAATGTTCACGAGGGGTGAGTTGAATTTCATTAGCTTTGACATAAAGTAAAATTTTATAAACAAATATTTGTCTCACATTTCTACATTAAGATTCATTATAGAACGCGCCAGAAGAAAATGTCACC